CCCCTCCTGACCCCCCAACCCCCCCTCCAGCCTCCCCCTCCTCCGTTACTTCACCCCCTCGCCCCAAGCCCCTTACCCTACCCCCTGCTCTAACCCCTCCCCGCACAGGACCCCCCCCTCCCCTTGACTCCCCCGCCCCACGTGCCCCCTCCCCATCACTTCACCCCCCCACCCCCTCTCATCTACACCCCCCCGCGCCGCCTTCCCCCTCCCTCCCGGGCGCCGCAGCCAATGAGCGGGCGGCCCCGCATCCGGGGCTCCCCCGCCCGTCTCGCCCGTCCCCGCTCCACACACGGCCATGGCGGAGGTGAGTGCGCCGGGGGGAGGGGGGACCGGGGGGGGGGCGAGAGCTGGGGCCAAACCTCCCCCCATCACCCCGCCGGGCCCCCCTGCCGGGGGGCGGGGCCCCGGCGGGGGAGGGGCGGTCGCCACTCGGGACCCCCCACATACCCGGGGGGGGCTCATAGGGACACCCCCCGGGCCCGAAGGCTGCTCCGTGGCCTAGGCCCCAGGCCGGACAGGCGGGCCTGGGGGTGGGGAGCTGGGGCATCAAGCGCCGGGGGCCAGTAGGGGGCAGCAGGGTCTGGGGGGGCAGGGATGGGTGTGGGGGGGTAGCTGGGCTGGGACTGGGGGGCATCTGGGGCAGGGAGAGCTGGGGCATCTGGGGGGTGGGGTAGCTGGGCTGGGGCTGGGCGGCATGTGAGACTGGGGGAAGTAGGAGCTGCAGGGTAGCTGGGGCAGCAGGGACTTGGGGGGTGGCTGGGGCATATGGGGCTAGGGATGGAGGGTAGCCAGGGCATCTTGGGCTGGGTACCAGTAGGGGCTGGAGGGGGTAGCTGGGGCTGTGGGGCATGAGAGGTCTAGGAGGAAGCTAGATCATCAGGGACTGGAGAGGCGCAGCAAAAGCTGTGGGCATGGGGAGCAGCGGAGGTTGGAGGGAGGCAGAAAGAGCTGTGGGCAGGGGTGGGAGGTGGCGGCTGGGGGTAGGGGGCATTGGGGCAAAAGGGGATGGAGTAAGAACGTGGGGGCAATGGCTAGGAAGGGCAGCATGGGTGGATGGAGGTGTAGGGGAGGGTTGTCATGTGCATCAGATGGTTCAATGGGAGGGACTTGGCACTCGTGCAGTGTGTCATTGTGTCGTGCAGAGATGTTACCACGCTTACGCTGGGGCATCGTACTGTGATGTCATCCCCCGTTCTGTCTTGATGTCACTTTGAAACATCATCCCCGTTGCGTCACACCGGTTACATGGGGCATCGGGATGTCACACTGCAAAATCCTTATTGTGACGCTGACTTGGGAGAGTAGCATTGAGAAGCCATCAAGAGGCCCACCTGTTGCATTGCGAGCTTTTCTTGAGCACCGCTCATGGAGGCATCCTCTCCATCACAACAGGAGGTCATTCATGTCACACGACAACGGTTGCACCAACATGTCAAGTCAGGGAGTTGTCGCTATTGGTGGGAGACTGTCCCCACTACATCTTGTCAATCACAATGGCCCTTGGATGCAGCATCCCTGTTGCATTACCATGTTTGTTCTGAAACATCATTTTGAGACTTCACCACGGCATCAAGAAGTTCACCCCAGCACGTGGCATGGAGATGACATCCCGGAGCACTGTGACAATGTTCCTATGATGAGATGTGCATCCCAAGGGTAATTTGGGGCCAGTTAACATCCCACAAACTAGATTTGCTATATGTGGGATCACCGCAATGAAATTGTGACCGATGCCAGCAATGGTTACCTGGGCGGAAGATGGGCCGGATTGCCTAATATGTCTTTTCCAGAGTTAATTGTATGGACTTGCAGAGAAAAACTCACTGTGTGGAGGTTACAAAATGAGTGAGATTCCGACATTCACCTTTGCTCAATGGGAAATATCCAGCAGCACTCTTTCCCCAAAACATCAAAGAATGTGCACAAGACAGGAGCAACAAGGAGCAGTTCTGTAATGTGCCGGCACTAATAGATACACTCCACCTGGCCATGGAATGGCCTAAACTGGCATGGAAAATCATCACTGTTATTAAAGCAATGAAATCTGAAGGGAAACCCTCCTCTTTCTCTTTGTCTCGCTTTCTTGTGAGAATAGTTCTTGCCTTAGGTGTTTTCTGTGCTAGTGCTCTGGACATACACACAATTACCGTTGCACTTGAACATCTTTGACAGGGCATGAAATCCACTACTGCATGGAAAAATCCCTGCATTTCTGAAAAATCATGGTTGCTGTATCTTTAATGGAGTTCCTGGAATCTTGACTCTGGAATCAGGGAAGGGATGCTAGAGTCTTTTAAGACTGATTAGCCAGCGGCTGTGTTCATAAATGCTGTGCGAGGAGGGTCAGTTTCAGGCAAAAGAAGCAGCAATTTGTGTAGCGAGAAGTTGCCAATCCAGGTAGCCCTCCAGTTTTGCAGGGAGCAGAGCCAACTTCAGCATCGTCTCGGGCGCTATGGGAATAACCTGAGATGACCACCGTGAATTTTGGAAGGTGATCAGAACTATCAGCATCACAAATGACAGAAGCATCTACATCATTGTGTCTAAGTACCATTCTTGACTGAGATGCAGCCATTCATACCTTGGGGCCATCTACGTCAGTTTTTCTGACCCATGTAATGCTGTTGGGTTTTCTACTTCCTATCTGACAGGATTTTAAGCATCAGATGCAGCTCTCTCTAACTTTAGAGAGATAATTTTACATCGCATGCCATTAACAGTCAGTTCAACCAAGAACATTTCCCTCCGCGTGGTCACTATCTACACATTTGAGTCTGATCTTGCTTCTTCCCCCATTGCTTGGCTCTGCCTGGACTTCCGTTACGTAGTCTTTCAGATCCAAAAATAATTATGGTATCGGCCATCTGTATGCTCCAGCTTCATCCATGTCTATGTTAGGATGTAAGAATTGGCCATCGGCTCTGCCTGCCATCTCTTTGGTCCCTTCTCAATGCACATACACCATTGTGATTTGAGTTACTTTCATTATTACCATTGTCTTCATGGTGATTTTCAGCACAGGCAGTTTCCAAGTCCAGTAATGTCCTGTTACTACTTCAGCTTTGAGTCTTTCTTCATCCTCATTAACCTGAAGATATTAATAAGTATTAGTTTGTATCTTATTTACTATTACTAATGTTACTCCTCATTTCGCCTAATGGTCTTCGATATAATGTATCCTCATTTATCCAGTGTTCTGATTGACATCTTTTCCAACCACCATTTGTTAACTGAACAATATTACTTAGTAGAAACTTTCATCTTTGAAACATTTTGAGGTAGTACAGTCAGTAAGTAGATTGTCTCAGGAAATGGGAGACTACATTGAGTTATGTGCCCAAACCTACAGAGTGAATGATTGTAGATCACACCTTGATCATCTTCGTACAACCAAGGCTATTTATGGGAAGAATAGCTATTAAAATAGTCTTGTTCTTCATCATGCCCCATCAATCCCCCTTTTCTGAGATATGGAGCCATCTTCCCAAGTGCAGAAAACACAGAAATGTCCAATCTCAGAACAGAGGCGGTCCTAAATCTTTTCATCCCTTTCTCCTTTATTATCTCAAAAACTCCTCCTTTCTCTTAGCACACATAGGTACTGGGCTATTTCTGCAAGAAGCCAAGCTAGTCTCAAGAGGATTTTGTTGCTCTATAATCAGACACTAGGGGATGGTGAATTGCAATACACATTGCATGTTTTACTTGAGGCTAAAGGCATTCTCTTTGCATTGTGCCTAGACAAAGGAGCAGTATTTCCAAGGTTGCTTCAGCTCTTGGATCTCTCATGACAATACCCTGCTACCTCCTAGGTCATCAGTCGTAAAAAACCATCACCATCATTATTTCTACAAAATAACCGGCACTACTACCAGATTTACACCTGTTTAAGACTTGGAGGCATTAGTTCTAAGCCAGCAACCTGATATCTGGCTGGATAGCCTTGTGTGTGTGAGTGAGAATATGGACTTTGTCCCATTTAGAGTGGGGGAGGGAGGGTCTCCCATTTTGATTTCAACTGATGCTTTGCTTTCTTAACAAAATAAGCTACTGAAGTCCAGTCCTGCAAAGTGCTGAATGCCCACAACTCTCATTGACTGAATGGATGTTGAGAATGCTAAGTACTTCCCAGGATCAGGGCCATGATATGTATTAATTAAAATGTAGTAATGCCAGTTTGGGGACTGACACCACAGTTCTGTTCCACAGCTATGATGCTCTCTTAGTCAACGTGATTGAGTCAGTTGATTACTCATTTGCTCCCTTCCTAGACCTAACAAATATACAGCAATCCAGAAATAACAGGCGTTCTGGATTGTTACCTGGACTTCAACCCACATCGCTGCTTGAACTTCTGACTGAACACTGACTGCCGGAAAGCAGATGCCTTCCCTCACATCCACCTGTCCTATCCATTATCTATCTTACCCTTGCTGCTTGCAACCACTGGATTTCCTCCCAGCCTGCTCAGCTGTTAATGCCATTCATGACCATTCTGAGTCTTTTAAGTGCTTTGGAATGGGGGAAGACGAGAAGCACATGGTCAAATGTCCTCCTTGGTGGTCAGATAATTTCTAATTCTACCCCTGATGGATTGCTCAGAGTTTAAGGAAGTGCCACATTCAAACAAAAGGGCCATTTGCTTTTAGAATAAAGTTTGTAGCAGGCTACAATCTCTTCTCATGGCAATATAAGTCCTAAGGACTTTGGTTCTCAAATAAACTGGTGAGAGAATAGATATCAGTGATGGGATGACGAAGAGGCACCCATGCACGCACTTAGGGATTCTGAAGGGAATGTGAACAATACAGGGCAGGGGAGGCTTGGGGGCGTGGTTCCTTGAGTACACCTGATCAGAATCTCTTTTTACTTGGTTTTTAAACTAAGTGAATTGCATTTGGGGGCTGGAGATGTGTCACATTATTAGGAAGATGTTTCTCCTCCATAAAAACAACAAGGAGTCCGGTGGCACCTTAAAGACTAAGGTGCTACCGGACTCCTTGTTGTTTTTGTGGATACAGACTAACACGGCTACCCCCTGATACTTTTTCTCATCCGTGTTTGTTTCTTTTTGAAGGCCTCGGTCGGCAGGCAGAGTCCGAGGGTGGTTCCGTACCCAGCCCACAACCTATGTCCTGGAGAGCCTGGTCTTCAGACTGCAGCAGGTACCAACAGCTTGAGTGTGCTTATGTTTGTTTTTTCCCCACGCCACTCTCATTTCTCCTCCATCGAGTCTCTTCCCCCTGACATCTTCTGGGCATGCCCATGAACTTAAGCACACACGTGTGCATGTGCCCACACACACACACACACACACACACACACTGGAGGGCAAGTCTATATTACAGCACTACATGTGAAGACACGCTATGCCGACAGGAGGCAGCTCTCCCGTCGGCATAATTACTGGTGGAAGCTATGTCGGCAGAAGAGCGTCTCCCACTGACATAGCACTGGTGTGGACAGCGCTTAGGTCAATGTAACTTACGTCACTTGGGAGTGTCTTTTTCACACCCCTGAGTGATGTAAGTTACATCAACTTAAGTAGGATAGACCAGCCCGGAGTCTCTCCAAATTTTGTTGCTGTGATCTGGGGTCAAGCGTGGCTAATGGCCAACTTTCTAATCCCTGCAGTTGTATCAATGGGCTCATCTGACCACCGATTCACCCTAGCTGAGATCCTATCACAGAACTATGGTGTACGAGAAGAGAAGGAGGAGGAAGACGATACGCAAGAGAAAGAAAAGTCTTTAGAAGAGCTGGAAAAGAGTTTCAGTGCATCTCAGGTAAAGGCAGCAAGGGAGGGGAAGGGGAATTATCTGTTGGATTTCTTGTCTATCTTGACAGAGAATTGAGATGAAATGTCTCCACTGGGCCAGCACTCAGGGAGATCGCCTGCCTGTGCATTTTATTTAAGTCTCCTAAGCATAAGGCCTTACTTTGACATTTGGATGTGAGGGATCAGCTTGCCCAAGGGACCAGTCATGAGCCCCGGAGCCCTCCACACTCTGGGTTGCCAGTTCAAATCCAGTCTGCATCCCTGGTGACGAAAAGCTGTTGGCTGTCTGGGCCATGTGAAATGAGTCGTTGCTGTGCCGTCCACTTCATGCTAGACAGGTGTCAGTTTCTCAGAAAACACTGGTGTATCTATTGGCTCCCTTGTGGGCAGTCAAGAGCCCAAGAATTCAGTAGGGTGTGGAGTGTGAGTATCCTTCTCTGACAGAGACTGTCCCTTCAGGTCAGTGTCAGTATTACATATGAGACCTTTGTGCTGCCCTGTTCTCTGGGTAAATACAGGGAACTAGTCTCCAGGGCTGTTAACTGGAACCTCTTCACCAGCATGAAAACCCAGTGTAAAAAAGCCACCCTTGAATCTGTTGCTTTGGGATAATTTCCCAGGTTTGTCCACAGCTTGGGGAAGTATAGATTGTCATAGCCCCGTTAGTCAATACCTTTTGGTTTCCTGGATCGTAGAGCAGCGCCAAAGACAGATCAGAGCCAGCCCCCAGGGGAGCAGAGCTGCCCTGACTGCCTCTGCATATCTCTGTTTACTGCAGCTGGTGTTGTACTCGGTGGTTGTTCCATTCCTGATGAAGCTTTGTCCTCCTCTCGCTCAGAGCAGTGAAATGCCATTCGAGGAGCTGCTTGCACTTTACGGCTATGAGGCATCTGATCCGATCTCGGAGCAGGACAGCGAGAGCAATGACATCCCTCGCAACCTGCCGGACATGACCCTGGATAAGGTAAGGGCAACTTTGTTGTCACGTGCTAGCTACTAGCAAGGGGATCAAGTAGTGCACCCCAGGTTGGTGTAGGGTCTAGAACAGGAAGCGTCTACTGGGTCCCTCATTAACGGGTCTAGTATATTGAAGACTTTTGAATTCCAGCAGGTGGGAATTGGCTAACCCACCGATCCCAAAGTGCAACAGGGAATGTCAGCTGCAGAGGTGCGAACACAAACAGGAAATTCAGAGGAGACAAAAGAAAGAGTAATTGTTACAAAGAGCAACAAACTACAAGCCCTGTTTGGAATGTAGATCCCTCCTCTTCTGCGTGTGGTGTGAATCGATCACCCTCTATTCCCAGGGAAACCAGGAGTCCTGCCCCTCTGCATAAGAGCCACTGAAAGTTTATTCCCTGCCAGCCCCTCTGAAAGTCACCCCCTCTGGATGGGCTCTGCAGAAAGTGCTCCTTACCCTTTCTCCCTGTAGCATCTGCAGGAAGCCACTCTCCCAGCGGGCCTGTAAGGAAACAGTCTTTTGGGGGTGTGGGTAAGGAAGGTCTAAGGGAAGCGCCTGTGGGGTGGAGGAGATGCACTGAGGAAGGGATCTTGGCCAGGGATGGTTGTACTCTAGGCCTCCCCTCCCTTTTTTTTTAAATTTAAAAACATTTTTCACTTTCTTGTTGTTGTTAAAAGGAACAAATAGCGAAGGATTTGCTTTCAGGGGAAGAAGAGGAGGAGACGCAGTCTTCAGCCGACGACCTGACTCCGTCCGTCACGTCCCACGATGCGTCGGACCTTTTCCCAAACCAGCCTAGCTGTATGTGTCCCTGATTTCTAACGGACCTTTTGTACTTGGAGGTGGCTCAGGAGGAAAGGCCAATTTTTAAAATAATTTTTAAATTTTTGGTTACTGAAATTCCTGAAGTAGCAACTTTTGAGGTTGGTCCTGGGACCTGGAGATAAACTCAGCCCTCCTGATGTTACTGCAAGGCACAGACAGAATTAGGCTGTAGTGATAAGGGGAGTTGAATTTTATGGTTCAGGGTGTGAACTGATCAGCTGTAGGGTCAGGAAGCAATTCTCTCCAGCTGCAGCTCATAGCCTCAGGGCAGTGAGAACTTCTGTTACACGCCCAGCCTGGACTTTTGGGGCAACTACACAACTGGTGAAGTGCATGGGATGTTGAGGTTTTTTGCCTTCCTGAGAAATATCGCTGCCAGATGCTCCCTCCGCAGCATCCGCTCTCAGAGTAGCGAGACCATTGGTCTCATCGGGTATGACAGCAGGCAGAATTCCTGAGCAGAAGGACAGTGGTCTGATCTTGAAGGGGATGTTGCAGATTAGTAGAACCAATGGTCCAGTCTAGTATGGCAACTCCTATGTTCCTCGGACTTTAATAATGGGGGTTTGTAGGGAGCCAAAGCAAGGGAGAACTCAGTGTGGAATGATTGATTGGGATTCTACCCCTAATCCTGCAAAATTTGGGAGCCTTGGCTCTGCTGAATGATCACTGCTCATGTGGCAAGAAGAGAATCTGGGTAAGTTGTTCTGAATAAATGGAGCAGGCTCAAAACAACTCCAGGATGGGAAATGAGGGAAGGAGAGAGAATCTAGAGGTATTGAGGCTGGGTGTTAGCCATCTTGTAACTGAACAAGTGACTTCTCTTTCTTCAAAGCAAACTTCCTGGCTGATGAAGACAAAGAGCCCTGCTCTTCTCCATGTGCTTCCTCCTCGGCAGAGGATTCCGAAGAGGACTCCATCCCATCCAACGAGTGCAAGAAGGTAAGTGATCCGAGCCAACCGCACTTCCCTGGGGGGCTAATGCTCAGCATTCAAGTGTGAGAAAGCTGAGCAGCTCAAGGAAACCACGAGACCCAACCCCGGGACGCCTCTTGGGGAACTCAATGTCAGACGCCTGTACTCTGGGTCTTACATTCTGTGCAAGGCCATGGCAGACGTATCTTAAAACATGCCCTGTGCAGCCTGTATCTGAGATTATGCTCACAGCGAGGGGGATGCTGTACCTCAAAATTCAGAACTGCAACTCGTAGCGTAGGAGAGGTGAGGTCTAGTGTTGCATGCCCAGGATGGGTCTTTGGAGAACGATCTTGTGGAAGAGGAGAGTAGACTCCTCTTTGGACGCACAGCAAGCTGAAGAAGCTCTGTTGCATCTTCTTCTCTGCAGCCTTAGATGATGTAGGGTCTTGGTATAAATATTCAGCATTGAGACCAGGCTTAAAAGCACAGGGTCAGCAAATTGTAATTTGTTTGAAAACCCCTTCATAATTGTTCTAACGAATAGGAGGGATCCCCCTAGAGCGGACATGGACAATGTGGTCCGCCAGTGTGTTTAGTGAGGCAGGTTAAGTTCCGTTCATCACCAGGTCCCTGAGTTGATTCCAGTACAAACACATAATCTTGTAATAATTCTCTTCTCTGTGATGGTTTTCAGGAGATCATGGTTGGACCTCAGTACCAGGCTGCTGTTCCTATCCTCCACTTCAACAGGCACAGTGAAAAAGGTGAGAGCCCTTCCTTGCTCTGATTGTAACATTTGTGCTGCACCTTTTCTGGATATGGGGTCCACTGATCTGAGCCGCTGACAGAGTGTTGGCTCTGTCGCTGAGGTTTGTATCTCTAGATATGATGTCTAACAATACTCATTCCTCCAAACAGAAGTGGGGCTTTTAGGAAAAGGGTGGTGGATTAGTTGTCGCCAATGTGCGACAGTTCACAGTGTGATCCAGTATTTTACACAGGACTGTGCATGGCCCTAAAAGAGCCAACAGTCTTAGCTGTTTGCAATGCAAACCCAGGTGCAGTTTGCTTTACACGATCTGGCCGTTTGTAATCACTGCAAGGTTACAATTAAGATCGCGTACGAAGGCATCTTTAATTTTTGGAGTCTCTGATAATATAGTTTAATTGACTTCAAGGGACCATTGTGGTGATCTAGTCGGATCTTTTGCACAACACAGGCCCTAGAACTTCCCTGAATTTATTTCTGCTTCAAGTCCAGTAGCTGGGGTGGAACTAGAATGGATGTGTTAGAAAAACATCCAGTTTTGATTTAAAAATTGCCAGTGATGGAGACTCAACCACAGTGGTTAATGACCCTCACTGCTAAAAATTTGCTCCTGACTTCTACTCGGAATTTGTCTATCTTCAACGTCCATATGTTCTTATAGACACCTGTGTTCTTGGAGGGTCACATTGTCTCTATGTTTCTGGCATTTCTCAGGGCAGTGAAGTGCAGCAGAATTAAGATTTTTCAGATTATTTTATTTTCCATAATTTTCGGTGTTTGGGTTTTTGTTAAAACCTTGACTTTGCAGGCTTTCTAATTGAGGTAGGTTTTGTTTTTAGAAAACTACAGTGTTCTCTTGATTTTGTTCCTGAACAACTGTGTTAGATTGTTTTCATGCTTAATTCCAAGTGAACAAAGTTTTTAGACTGAGAATTTACTTGCTCTCTCCCCTCCTCCCTCCGAACTTCTCACAAATAATCATCAACAGGAACTTATTGTGGGTTCAGAAGTTGGATGCAGAGATGGATTCTGCTTCTCCCCTTCCATTGGTCTTATATTTGAATCTCTGTGTCTGCCAAACTCTTTGTCTTTTTTGCCTCAAAACTTTCTTGAAAAATCCTGATATCAAGCATGTGAAATTTCTGATGGATTGGTCTGAGTTTGGCAAAGTTGGGGATGTGAGTCTCAGACATGGCCAAAGAAAAGTTAATGCCTTGCCGTGATATTTTATTTGTATTTCACAAACCGGCAAGAGATACCATTTATCTCTACATTTTCATACAGAATCCCCAGTGCTGATCACAACTTCCAGTTAGATCGGATCTCTCAGAAGCAGAGAAATGTTTTGGTTTTCCAGATTGTGTCCAATCATTTATTAGCTCAAGACTCTGCCCCCATTCGTTGGAACTGAGATGCAGTCTGCTAGCCGGGCGTTTGCTCTCTAGAAATGACTCACTTCCTCCCTCATTCTCTATGCCAGGTTGACTCTGGGCAAGTTAGTTTAAAGGGTTCACTTCCTACTAGTTTTAAGCTCAAATTTAGGACTCTGTCCTACAAGGCGCTGCGTGCCCTTAGCTCCTACTGAAGTTAATGGGAGCTGAGAGTGCTCAGCCCATAGATCTTGGGTCACGTTCTCCATTGTCCTGCGCCATATGCTTCCTGTGAACACCAGTGCAAAATGGATGTAAAATGCAACCAGATCAGAAGGGGATGGCATTCCACACCTTCTCTGCACTCACTTTGCCCTGGTGTAAATGAATGTGTCAGGTGAAGGGCCAAGGAGAATCAAGCCCTTTGTCTTGAAAAACAAATAAATAAACAAAAAGTATATTAGGTGCCAGTGGTTACCAAGCCTTATATCTGAATAGAAATGTTGTTTTAGTTCATGCCTGTTGTTTTAGTTCATTGCAAGTTTCTGTTTGCTTTGTTTTCATTTAAACAATTGCCTGCATTGCTGTGAACGTATAACTGGTTAAAAGATAGGAAACAAAGGATAGGAATAAATGGTCAGTTTTCAGAAATGAGAGAGGTAAATAGTGCTGTCCCTTAGGGATCTGTACTGGGCCCAGTCCTATTCAGTATATTCGTAAGTGATCTGGAAAAAGGGGTAAACAGTGAGGTGGCAACATTTGCAGATGATACAAAATTGCTCAAGATAGTTAAGTCCCAGGCAGACTGCAAAGAGCTACAAAAGGATCTCTTAAAACTGGGTGACTGGGCAACAGAATGCCAGATGAAATTCAATGTGGATAAATGCAAAGTAATGCACATTGGAAAAATGTAATCCCAAGCATACATATAAAATGATGGGGTCTAAATTGGTTGTTACCACTCAGGAAAGAGATCTTGGAGTCATTGTGAATAGTTTTCTGAAAACATCCACTCAATGTGCAGCGGCAGCCAAAAAAACAAACAGAATGTTGGGACTCGTTGAGAAAGGGATAGATAATAAGGTATATTGGAATTGGAAAAGGTTCAGAAAAGGGCAACAAAAATGATTAAGGGTATGGAACGGCTGCTATATGAGGAGAGATTAATAAGACTGGGACTTTTCAGCTTGTAAAAAGAAATGACTAATGGGGGATATGATGGAGGTCTATAAAATCATGACTGGTGTGGAGAAAGTAAACAAGGAAGTGTTATTTACACCTTTGCATAACACAAGAACTAGGGATCATCAAATGAAATTAATAGGCAGCAGGTTTAAAACAAACAAAAGCAAGTATTTCTTCACACAACTCACAGTCAACCTGTGGAACTCCTTGCCAGAGGATGTTGTGAAAACCAAGACTATAACAGGGTTCAAAAAAGAACTAGATAAGTGCATGGAGGATAGGTCCATCAATGACTATTAGCCAGGATGGACAGGGATGGTGTCCCTAGCCTCTGTTTGCCAGAAGCTGGGAATGGGTGACAGGGGATGGATCACTTGAAGATTACCTGTTCTGTTCATTCCCTCCGGGGCACCTGGCATTGGCCACTGTCGGAAGACAGGATACTGGGCTAGATGGACCTTTGGTCTGACCCAGTATGGCCGCTCTTATGTTCTTAGAGCACAATACACAGCCGTGTGCTAAAGTGTGAGAGTGGGAGCAGCTAGGGGGATGCCTGGGCCAGAATTTGACAGAAACAGTGGTTGCTTAAAGCCACCTTTGCCCTCCCATTCCTATGCCCAGTGCAGGAAGGGGCACTGCAGAATCTGGCCTTATAAAACCACATGCATCAATTGGCATGTCCTCTAATAAGCCTAGAGAAGTCTTGAGCCTCAAAAAGTCTCCCCAGCTGCCCCTTCAGGAAAGGCCTGAGCAAACAGAGTCCTTCCCTGTGCTCTGACAGCCAGCAGTCTTGGGCTAATCAGACTAAAGGGGGAATCTGGGCTCAGCAGCCCTACACTCTCCAGATTCAGGAGAGAAAACACCCTGGCTCCAGATCTAAGGACTCGCAGCTTGAGCTTCCCATCTGACCATAACTGCCAGGCTGGAGCCAGAGACTTCCTCTCTGATCCACCCACAGCCCACCTCTTGAAAGCAAGGGTGCTCTCTGATTGACCAGCTCATTTCAGACATGCCCTGATGTTCCCATTAGCCTACGAGAATGAAGATCAGCTGCTGTGGGACCCAAACATCCTCCCCGAGAGGGAGGTGGAAGAGTTCTTGTACCGAGCAGTTAAGCGAAGGTGGGACGAGGTCTCCAGTGCCAATCTGCCAGAAGGAGAGATGGTGAAGGACAATGAGCAGGTGAGCTTGGGAGCCAGGGCTTTGTGCAGTCACCAAATTCTCTGTTGTCTCAGTGTTGTGGACAGAAGTCAAGTAGCCCTGGCCAAGGGGGCAGGAAGTGTCAGCAGGGAGTTTCAGAATTGATTGCTTGTTTGTTTCAGAGGGGAGGGAGCGGCTCTCACAAAGACCCAGGGTGAATGAGACCTTCTTTCTAGCTGATACATCTCCCTCTGGGGCCCATCACTGCTGCTCCAAGAATCAGACAGAGGGAACCTTTCTGGCCGAGCCTGCTGCTTTCTACTGCATCCCCGCTGGGTTGAGGAGCAAAAGGAGCGCTTGGGACTTGCCTCAAATACTCCATGTGGGTTGTGTTGCCACCATTTGCTGAGCCGGCCCGTTCAGACTAGTATTTTAATTACAGCTGTTTCAGGACACATGCACACCTACTGTCTCTAGGCTCCTCCCAGGACAGCCCCGTGCTTTATCATTTAGAGCCTCGAACTGTGGAGCAATCCTTCCTGACGGTCGAAGTGGGGCGGTGTAGATAGGTGGCTCCAGAAGAGAACATGCTGTCTGGGCAGATGCAGTGATCTACAGCTGAGTTGGTTAGTGGTATACGCGTCCAGTGCATGTAATCAGCAGTTCTTTATTACATTGCATAGGCTCTGTATGAACTGGTTAAATGTAACTTCAATGCAGAAGAGGCACTGCGGAGATTACGATTCAACGTGAAGGTCATCAGAGGTGAGAGACCCAAGTGTTTAGATTCTCTTGCATGCTGTATCCCAAATGTCCAGATTCCTTCTGCAACTCCAGCAGTCCCTGAATGTGTCTGTCTGTCTGTCTCTCAGTAACCCGGGGGTTCTGTGGAACTCCTAACATCCTGTTTCCTTGTGCTGCAGATGAGCTGTGTGCCTGGAGCGAGGAAGAATGCAGAAACTTTGAACACGGGTTTAGAGTCCACGGAAAAAACTTCCATCTTATACAAGCTAACAAGGTAAAGAGGCATGTTCTTGGGTCACAGACTGAGAGGAGCTGCAGGAGTGCATGTTAGTGCTGGGAAAATATACTAAACCTTACTTAATCTGGGGAAATTGATTTGCTGTGTGGCCGTTGTCGAGTGCATGGGTCCAGTGCATGTAATCAGCACTGTTCACTGTTTGATTTCTCCCGTCTGCACTACAGGAAAAACAATACTGATTTCCATCAGAGATTGCAAGGCTTAATTTATTAATAATTAGCACTGGCTAGCTGAGGATCTCAAAGTGCTTTGCAAACGCTCTTCACCCTTGCGATGTTTCTGGGAGTCAGTGATTGCAGGGTGTGGGTCGTTTGTAGAGTTCAGTGGGATCCTTCGGGATGAAAGTGGAGCCATGTAGCCCAATGAATAGGGCACAAGACTGAGAGTCAGGAGATTCCAGTCCCTGCCACTGACTCACCGTGCGACTCGGGTCAAGTCACTTGAATGAACTTCATTTTCCCCATCTACAAAGTGGGGTGATGGTACTGACTCTTCGTAAAGCCCTCGGGGCTCTATGGAGGGACTCTGACTAATCGTTCCCTGTAGGTCCGCACCCGGTCGGTGGGAGAGTGCGTGGAGTACTATTACATGTGGAAGAAGTCGGAGCGCTATGACTACTTCACCCAGCAGACTCGCTTCGGAAGGAAGAAGTATGTCCTCCACCCTGGAGCCACGTGCGTGGAATATTCTCAGACTAAGATTAGTAAACGTTACTTCCCAGCGAGGCTCCCTGTCTCGCCCCACTCCCTGCTTCAGGGACCTTGATCTTAAAATAGCGCTCCCGGCCATAAACCTCATGAGATGGAAGATCTTCTAGTCAGGAGGGTCCTGGGGGGTGGCAGGCCAATAGACGTACATACAGAGGGTAGCCCACTGTCCCTCCACAAAGGAAAGCAGCCGTTTGCCAGTAGCGCTGGGTGGGCATTTTTTCCAGGAAATGTTTTTTGTTGGAAAACAACTAATCACAACTGAAACTTAAGTGGGAAATGGTAGGATTGGGCCAGTGTCTCCGTTCGAAAAATTGGAGGGGGGGGGAAGGGTGTTTCAAAATTGTCAAAACGTCCTGTTTTGGCATTTATTTATTTTTTAACCGAAAAATTCTGGTTTCGTTTGAAATGATTTTTTTTGGATAGAACTATAAGCTCATTATAATAAAAACCATTTTTTGGAATTAAAAAAGGTAGAAATTGAAACAAAATGTCAAAACAAAACTCTGGACCCAACCCCAAACATTTCCCGGCTTGTTGGTTAGCAAATGTTTTTGAGATGTTGACCTTTTGTCCCACTTTGGGATAAGAAAAAATTTCAAAATCTTGACAGTTTTCCAGGGACCGGAAAGCCATTTCCCACCCAGCTCTGTCTGCCAGCACGCTGACGCCGCACAGGCTGTGACAGCAGTTCTGGGCAGTGGCCGGCTCCCTGGGGAGAGTGTTTGCCCATTGAGTTCACTGTGGGAGGCAGAGAAGTGTAGTTCTTTGGGATTGCAGAGTTCAGCAAGTGTTGGAACCTGAGAGGGCCCAATTCTGATTTCACAAGCACTGGTTTAGCTCCACTGGTTTCAGGAGGGGTTGTGCCCATGCAGGAACAGAAGGAGCCCCATAGACCTTGAGGGGAAGGATGTTTTCCGCACAGCAAGCCTGTTGCCGATTGTGCCCTGTGCGGGGTGCTGAGAACATCCACGTTACCTCCTGCGTTGTCCCATGGCAGTGTGTTAGGGAGGGTTGTTGATTTCCCCCACCTGCTTAACCCCACAGAGTGGATGGTCACAGCATCGTCTCTCCCCCTGCAGGGATTACGTGGATAACGACTTGGACGGGGCCGAGGCGGAAAATGCCACCCGCTCTCGGAACTCCCCACCGATTCCCTCTGCCACCAGCTGCCTGGACTCTCACTTCAATCAAGATCACCTGGCAATTGAGAGTGCAGGTAATTCCTTTGCCTTCCTTTAGGCCTCTCCTTCCCACTGCTCTGGGGTACGGAGCTTCCGTTTGTCCTCTCTCATGACTCCCCATGGCATATTTGCAGATTTGCACCTGTTATCGCAGCTCCTTAAATTCCCCTGGTTGGAACCAGGTCCTGGGGGAACCATTGAGCAGACACCAGCACAGCAGGAAAGGGCTCAGGGCTAAGGGAGGGGCCTTGTCTTTCGCTGAATCAGCCCGTCCCACGGTCAGAGCATGAGGCTGAGAAACCGCTTTTGGGAATTTAGCACTAAGGGGGAGCTTTGGGGAGAATGTAAAGGAGTGGGGAATAATCTGCCTCTCTTACCATCTCCTAACAAACCTGGGGCTTTGCGTATCCACATCCGGGGCAAACACCCTGGTGTGTGTTTGGGGGTGGGAGTTCCCAGCATCAGGCGCATCTTGGAGAGTCACATCGTAGGATCATCTGAATTTCCATAGAAGCACTGATGTCGTTTCCCCCACCCTGCCCCAAAATGAACTTTCTTCCCCGCCTCCCCACATGCATCCCACACATGGGAACCACATAAGAACGGCCATACTGGGTCATACCAATGGTCCATCCAGCCCAGTATCCTGTCTGCTGACAGTGGCCAATGCCAGGTGCTTCAGAGGGAATGAACAGAGCAGGGAATCATCAAGTGATCCATCCCCTGTCGCCCATTCCCTGCTTCTGGCAAACAGTAGCAATAACAGTGATAAACTGTGATGGATCTCGGCCGATACCATGAAGGAGCGAGTGATCATGGCCACGTACAGTCTAACGAGAGGGTTCTGGTCCGCGGATGTGAATAAGACCCTGTACAGTGTTATCTGCATGTGTGTACAATGGACTCACTCTAGCTTTCTCTCACCTGCTCTCCTCACCCTGTCTCTCTGTTCCTCCTCCGCCCCTTGTGCCGTGCAGAGCCTCTGAGCGTGGAGAGCGCAGCATGCAGTTTGGGCAGCATGAGCGAATCAGGCCAGGGTTACGAGTGCAGCACTCCCTCAGAGACAAACTGTTCCTTTGACCCTGCGGAGGACACGTCCTCGGGCGGCATCTCAGCCACTTGCACGCGGCATCCAGTGAACCCCTCAGAAATGGGGCTTTACCAGCTGCCACCGGCAGGACCGGGCCTGGCAGACAAGCAGGAGACATTGCAGAGCTCCGGCGAGACGATAACTATGGACTTCACTCTCCCCGGAGACATTAACGAGGGGTTGCCTTTAATTTCCGGCCGTGTGGATTTGGACAGGGACCCAGAGGCACTGGTGTCCCCTGCTCAAGTGTCCTTATCGGTCACAGATTTTGGCATCATCGGCATTGGAGATGTAAATAGTTTTCTGGCTGCTCACCAGGCCTGCCCGGGGCCGGTGGCTCGGTCAGAGCCTTTGTCACAGTGAGAATTTCCAGTCTTGACCTTGTCACAGACCGAGCTACGACTTTGACCCGACTGAGTGAATTCCCTGGGCTTCCGTGTTCCACGGGGCCAGTTTGGAGCTGTTGGTCGGAATCTGTCTTTCCATCCTCCTTGATGTTTTGGCGTCTGTCCTTCCAAGGCTACAGTGAAACCAAACACCTTTCTGCTTTAGTGCTGTCTGACACACCTGCGCAAAGCTGATGGGAGGTTTTAGTCGGGGGATGAGTCCGTGAGCCCAGCCCCCCCAGTGTCGCCACAGGCAGCACCATGCAGTTCAGACAGCCTCTGGCCTGAGCACAGTGGAAGTGTCCAGTGACACCAACAGAGGGCGCTTTCTCTAGGGCAGGCTGGTTGCACAGTGGGATGTTATTGAGGATGAGGACGTGTCGTGGGCACTTTGGGGGCTGGGACGGAGGATGTAACCGGAGGTACGTGTGCTTAGTTAAAGTGACATGAAGCACAGTCAGTCCAGGCTGGAGGGGCCGTCTGGATGCAGAGATGGGCGTGCTTGTGCCGAAGGAGGGGGTGGACAGGCGCGGCCATTCCCCCTCGCATTTTGTGTTGCAATAGAAGTAATTCTCTCACCTTTTCTTTTCTAACAGCTGTAGCGTGCCTGTTGATTTGTTAATCTGGGGGCAGGCATGTGTGTTGAGACTGTGTTCAGACCTAGAGCGCCATCAGCGTCCGTCTGTCTTCTCCACTGCCAGGTCCAGATGAGAAACAGCCTGTCCCATCCCCTCCCAGACCTCTGGCTACAGCCTCAGCTCTTGGAAAGTAACATTTAGGGAGGGCAGCCTGTCTGCACATTGCCCCGCTCTCCTTCCCTTCCCAACACTTAACCATTGGTTGTGCTGCTCCGTGGAGAACCCGAATCCAGGGATGAGGCTGCCCTGGGAGCAGAGGGAGTTTCTAGTCAGGCTGGCAGTGGGCGACGTGATCTGTAAGATCCTTGCTTGCATTGCAAAAGGGTTAAATCCGAAGGAGCTGCCTGACTGGTTCCAAACTCATCGATCAGCTGGGGGAAAAGGGTAGGTAGTGATCAGTGAGTTGGATCTTGGGACTTGCATTAGAATTCTACAGAAATTGAAACAGAAGCTAGTGGGCTGTCTCTGAGGACATGGTATATGTACCCAGGAGGTCGGCGCACCAGCCCACCGATCCTGTGCTAAGCACGTGGCCCTCACCGGTGCATCAAACCTGGGCACATCCCTTGTATCCTGTGCAAGCACAAGGCGCGTAGCTGTGTGCCTGAAAGGAGAGCTTTCAGCCCTAGGAGCCCATCCGAGCATCTGACACTCACCCCTGGCAGGACAGCTTGCCTACCCTGAGCATCTCCTTTGCCAGCCTGGGTGAGCACATGGCACACAGCCCTGGCATGCTCATGCATCAGCCCCCTGGGGCATCAACCCTGGTATTCAAAAATGTAATGTAAAGAAACTCTCTATTTTGTAAGAGACAGGAATGTGTTTACCCTTGCGAGGGACATGCCTGAGGTGACCGAGATGGTGTCCGAGGGCAGCAGGGACGTTAGCCGCTGCGGAGAGTGCCAAACGAGACAGGGCCGTCTGTGGATTGCAGGAGCCCGATACCTCTCAGCTGCTCTGGCGCTATCCGGATTCGGGGGTTGCTGCTGGCTGAATTTCCCCCGCTCCTCCAGGAGCGCACGCACACCCATGGTGCGTGTACACTTACGGCAGTGTGTAGAGTACACACACTGCACGCCCAGCGAGCGCTGCTAGACATGGCAGTGTAGGCAGCGAGGCACCGCTGAGGGAAGTGGTGCAGCGTGCCAGACACGCCTCAGCCCCCATAGTATATTCCCAACGCAGCTGTCTGCCCACCCAGACAGCGCCTCCCCTGTCTACGCCGCTACTCTTACCAGTGTAGCGTCCTGTTGCCAGAGCCGTTCCCCACCGCGGGGAAGGGCTCTGGCAGCTCCCACGTACTGGAGCCTTTCACGGCGGCATGTGGCTACATGTGCAGTGCCTGTACTCTGTGCTGTGGACATGGTCACAGGCACACATTTCCCTGCCGTTCGGGGACTCCAGTGACAAACACCCTTCATCCAATTGCTTTCCTTTTTTCTTCTTAAATAGCTGCCTTCAGACACCACCCTGAAGCTAGTCCTGCTGCTGATTTGAAATGACATGATCAGCCATTGTGGGCTGGGTCCTCCCCTGAACAAACAGTGTTCACCTGTGCACTGTGAGCGTGAAGAGGGTGGAAAGTGCTACTGTCACAATGTATTTTACACCCACTTAGCACTGGGATGGTGGGGGGAGTGGCGATGTAGAAGCAGGCCCTGTCTCACATTGCCCAAACCCCGGATTTGTTTCACCCGCTCTGTCAGGGACCCGGCCCCTGGCCGGCTCAGCTGAGGTGGTAAACTCCAAAGTACAGCCGCCTTGATCACACAGTTTGTGAGACAGAGGCGCTAACTCGGGGGAGTTTCCCCACCCACTGCTCCCGCCTGCTGGAGACGGGACACAAATGTGAGCTGCCTGCGCCTGGCCCGAGTCCCTCGGGCTGTGATTCCCTTTTTGGGGGCCTTTCCTTTCTGAAAGAAGAAGGAGTGATAGGGGGAAGGTGTGGGGAAGCTCTCAGGCTTTTCCAGGGAGGGGGGAGCTCCCAGCACCCCTCCCAACAGCCAGGTACATTGGAGGAAAGTGATAAACGTTTTTTCTTTCATTTTGTTTCATTTTTGAGTCCTAACGAGTGGTGGGGGGGGAAATGTCTCTTATTTATATTCTTCAATGTTGTTTACAGATTCGAGCGGGGGCTTAAAGCGAACGTGGCACGTTTTCCTCACGCCCTGGCCGGGGAGGGATGGAAAGGGCCGGGGAGAGGGAGTCCGTCTTTTGGTTTAGTTTTTCTCACGAAGCACATTTACTTTGAGCCACCCCCAATGCCGGACTCTTCCCCTCCCCCCCCGGAGGCCCCGCACTGTGAAGTGATACTGCCTTGAAAACCCCTCGCCGTTATTTATTTAATTAAAAAATCGGATTTGAAAACCAACAGGGAGCTCGTCTTGTTTTCCGAGGCGTTGGGCTGTCCCGGCCCTTTGGGCGCTGGTAGCAAAAAGGGGGACGAGCTGTCAGCGAGAGGGGCTGTTGGCTTTTATTCGCTGCTCTGCACTAGTGAGAGTTGCAAAGCATCTCCCCAGGCCAGCGCTCGTGTTACCAGGAGATGAGCCCCGTGCGTGCGGCTGGTGGAGAGAGCGCTCCCCGGAAATATTAGGCAGAGGAGTGGCTTTGTTTGCTAGGGGGATTTAATGCTTTTCAGGGCACATTGACGGTTAATCTTAACAGGCTGCAGCTGTGGGTGGGTGCTCTGTTCCCGGGTTGCCACATTGGATTGCAAATTCACTTGTGCTGTATCTGGGAAGTTACTGCGGGGATTAATTCGATGGCCCAGAGACTACCATGACTGGGGCCATCAAAGTAATAATAATAATAATCCCTAGATCTCAAAGCACTTTAGAAAGGAGGGTAGTATCATTATCCCCATTGCACATATGGGGAAACTGAGGCACAGAGCGGGACTGTGAGGTCACCCAGTAGCAGAGGCAGGGATAGAACCCACATCTCCTGAATCCCAGTCCCATGCTCTGTCTCCGAGGCAATGCTGCCTCCTGTGCGGTGGGCTATTACAATAAGACAGCAAGGTGGCCAGATAAGGTCCTGGAACAGTGAGCCCACCTCCTGCCCCAAAAATGGATGCCTGCCAGCTCTTAACCCTTTCTCTGCCACTCCGTCCCTCAAGAGAAGGTGTCCCCACTTCTGGATTTACAGCTAGGCCCTCCCTCTGCCTGGTGCCTCCTCAGCGTACAGCTGTGCTGGCTGGCGTGGAGGCCTCCCGGCGAATAAAGAGGAAGCTGAGACGTCTGTCTCCAATCTTCCTGCGCCGTCCCTTGCAGGCTGTAAGGGGCGGTTGAATATCCATGGGAGAGGGGAGTCTGAGAACAATTGTAGCCTGGGGCAGAATTAAACAGTGGCTGAAGCGCTCCAGCTCTCCCAGTCAGCAGTGGGTGTGGCTGCCCAGAAACCCAACCCCACGCTTGTAAGCAACGTGTATCGCAACCCACTTGAGGTAGCAATGCGGTCAGTGGGGTGCGTCCCCAAAGCAGGAGAGCTATTGCACAGTCTAGAGGGCCGAGCTCGCAGTTCCTGTCTTGGTCCAAAATCCAGCTTCAGGGACTTGGGGCCAGTTTTTAGGCGCCTAATGATGGCGTTAGGCATCTTTAAAACCCCCATTAGGTGCCTAAGTGGCTATCTGCATCTTTAGGTGCCTAAACACCTTTACAAATCTGGCCCTTCAGCCCTAGATAGTGATGTGTGCATTAAAAATAGATCTAACCAGAGAACCTATCTCCTTCTCTCCATCTGGACCAGCCTTGCAAACTTCCACATGTCCAGGACAAGTCACTTTCCCTGGGGGTGTGGGTGAAAATATCATTTGTTCTTTTATTGGTGTCCTGGTAAACCGTGGCCCAGTCTGGTAAATATTCATGGCAGTTTTTTGCAAGATTAAGTCTGATCCTCTGTGATGAGGCTCCTGCACCTCTGCCCCGTTCCTGGTGTCTCTGAGAACAGTCCCTGAGCTTGACCTCTCTCAGGGTGGAATCCCACAATACATTCACGCTTAGGCCACGTCCGACCTTCTTACTGGGAGAGGTTGTTGGTAAAAGACGTGGTGCACCCTGGATAGAGATCCCAGGGTTCCATGTGCCATTATCCAGCACGCTGCCGTGTGGGAAATTTTTCCAGTGCGTTGTGTGATATTAGCACTGCACTCAGGGAATTACGGGAGCTCCCGGTCAAGTTCCCACAGTCCCCTTTCTTCCACAACAATGTCTCTTCCAGCTCGTCATTTTCATGCTGTGTTTGAAATTCCCACTGTTCCTTGTACCGCTTTTCAATCTTTTTGCTATCTCACCATCAGAAACATGGGTCCCGCACCGGGCAGCAGAGACTGGGTGCATGATTCTTTTGTATTTGCAGGGCATGGTGGCACTACCCCATGTGTGCCAATCCCTAATCTCCTTGCAGGACCAGCTGGGTTTCCAGCACTTGTGATTCCTCCCTTCGGGAGCCTGCAACCAACAGTCTCCTTCAAACAGTGTAGCAGTTGGAACAAAGCATTCGCGCCAAAGGGATTTTAAACCAACAGCCGCAATACACCGAGTCTCTTCTAACCTTATGCCTCACTACGAACTAGGCAGACAGGCGTGCCTCTTACATTACGGGAAGAACAAACTTGCATTCTCCCAGCCAGCTCCGGACCTCTCGCGGCTTGGGTGTATGCTGAAAGTTATAGCAATGTAGCTCCACCAATCAGAGGTGTGCAAGACCCACCCCCCCCCCACCAAATCGCAAGGCCGGCAAAAAAACCTGTGTCGACACAGCTGTGTTGATGGAAGATTGCTTATGTCATTTGGGCTGGTGGTGTTCCTTCTGTCGGTGTAGGTTCCTCCCCTTCTGTCGGTGGAGGTTGCATCTACACTAGCTATGCCAGTTCAGTCTCTGTAGCATAGACATACCCTGTGAGTTTGAGGGTCTTTCAAATAGCCTCTTCTGCCCATCTGACCCACCCGGTTCCAAGTGGTCTCAGCTGGAGCCATTGAGAAGGCTCCATTCTCGGACAGTGTCTCATAAAGCCCCATTCAGTTTCAGTGGCTCGTAATCGCTCCTCTCAGGACTATGGTTTTGTCTTCGCTGCCCAAAAAGGGGTGTTTTTACTGTCTAGTGTGTGTTAGCTCCTCAGCTGCAAAACCCTAGTGTAGTCAAGGCCCTGGGCAGGGAGGCCCCTCGTGGCAAAAACCACAGGTGCCTTGTCTCCACTAGGGTTTTACAGCTAGAGCGCGAACGCACATGAGTTATACAGTGTAACCCCTCCCCTCATCCACCTCTTATGCAGTGAAGTCCTTGCCCGGTTCTACCTGTGGGATTGGGTGTCACAACTGTCTGCTCCCCTCTGCTAGTCCAACACGCCATCTTAGAAGTCAAATCCATTAATCACATGTTGGGGTACAGACAGGGGAGGCTCTAGCTTTTTTGCCGCCCCAAGCGCGGCAGGCAGGCTGCCTTCGGCGGCATGCCTGCGGGAGGTCCCCAGTCCCGCGGCTTCGGCGGCACGCCTGCGGGAGGTCCCCAGTCCCGCGGCTTCGGCGGCACGCCTGCGGGAGGTCCCCAGTCCCGTGGATTCGGTGGCATGCCTGCAGGAGGTCCCCGGTCCCACAGATTCGGCAGCATGCCTGCAGGAGGTCCCCGGTCCACCGGCTTCAGCGTACCCGCCGCCGAACTGCCACTGAATCCGCGGGACCGGCGGACCTCCTGCAGGCATGTCGCCGAAGGCAGCCTCCCTGCTGCCCTCGCAGGGACTGGCAGGCCGCCCCCCGCAGCTTGCCGCCCCAGACACGCGCTTGGAGCGCTGGTACCTGGAGCCGCCGCTGGGTACAGATCAATAATCCTCATCAAGCAAGCCCACAGTTGTCCCACCCTCGCTATAGAAACAGCCGTGTCCCCTGTGAAAATATCCAAGATCTTGTCTACACCCACAAATTGCTCCACTTTAGTAGAGTTAAAGCACATCTCCCCTAAGTGTGGGCAGAGTCACAATGGTATAAAAGTGCTTTGGAGCCATCCAGGAAGAGGAATTGGCTATAGTGCAATACCAGTTCACTACATCCACGCTAGGGGTTGTGTTGGTATAAAGTATCTCAGTAGAAACTGGCACTACTAGCAGAACTAGTTGGACTGGTGTTAAATCTGTGTGTAGACCAGGCCCAACTCAGTTACTCCCCCATCTTCCCTTCCACAGACTATGGGAAGCAGCAAGGTGGTTTAAAGCCACTCGCATCCAGCTCCCACCATGCCCAGGAACAGGGGCGTTGAGAATCAGGCCCCAAGTATCACAAATTACACTGCCTAGATCTACCTGGACCTGAGTGAAATCTCTCCCCAGATCTATCCTAATTAGGATAAAAGGTTCAGAAAGGATATTAAACCTCAGGCTTCAGGGCTTAGGCCAGTCTCTAACTCGAGGGCAGGGGTGGCCAACCTGTGGCTCCGGAGCCGCATACGGCTCTTCAGAAGTTAATATGCGGCTCCTTGTACAGGCACCGACTCCAGGGCTGGAGCTACAGGTACCAACTTTCCAATGTACCGGGGGGGGAGGGGGTGCTCACTGCTCAGCCCCTGGCTCTGCCACAGGTCCTGCCCCCACTCCACCGCTTCCCACCCCCTCCCCTGAGCCTGCCACGCCCTCGCTCCTCCCCCTCCAGGCCTCCTGCACGCCACAAAACAGCTGATCGGGAGGGAGGGGGAGGCACGGATCGGTGGGGCTGCGGGTGGGTGGGAGGTGCTGGGAGCGGGGGTGGTTGGGGGCTGCTGACGTGTTACCGTGGCTCTTCGGCAATGTACATTGGTAAATTCTGGCTCCTTCTCGGGCTCAGGTTGGCCACCCCTGCTGCAGCTATTAGGGGACAGGATGAGATCCAATGAGGGGGGCAGATTATCCCAGCTCTGCTACTGTGGGGTTCTTCCACATTCCTCTACAGCAGCGGCTCGCAATCTTTCCAGACGGCTGTGCCCCCTTCAGGAGTCTGATTTGTCTTGCGTACCCCAAGTTTCACCTCACTTCAAAACGACTTGCTGACCAAATAAGACATCAAAGTACCAAAGTGTCACAGCGCCCCAGTACTGAAAACTTGCTGACTTTCTCATTTTGACCATATAATAATACAATAAGTCAATTGGAATATAAATACTGTACTTATATTTCCGCGTCTAGTGTACAGAGCTGTATAAACAAGTGATTGAAAGTTTAGTGTGTACTGACTTGGCTAGTGCTTTTTATGTAGCCTGTTGTAAAACTAGGCAAATATCTAGAGTTGCTGTACCCCCTGGAAGACCTCTGCATCTTGCCTGGGGAATGTGTACTCCTGTTGAGAACCATTACTCTGTCGCATCTGGGGCTGGCCACTATCAGAGACGGGATACGGAACCAGATGGACC